GTCAGCCGTGGGTCCAGGAGGACCCCCAAGTTGCGAACCCTCTCCGAGGGGGCCAGGGTTTCGCCCCCTATAGTCAGCGATGGAATCAGCTGACCATACCTGGGAGCCGGCAGCCACAACCACTCAGTCTTGGAAGGGTTGAGCCTGAGTCTGTTTCTCCCCATCCAGACCCGTACGGCCTCCAGACACCGGGCCATCAGACCTGCAGTCTGATACACTACTGGCAGAGCACTTTAAGTCAGTATCACCACTTGATTTTTACTCTTCTCTCAAAGAGAACTTTCCATACATGAGGAGGCATGGTCAGAAGATGTTAGTACTCTTCTGATCTACCTACATATGTGAACATTCTCAGTGATGATGTTCAACAAATCCAGATACTGATCCTTTCAATGATGATCACCTGTCAGCTGTCGTTCGCATATCAACCTCAGACATTCAACCAGACTTAAGTGCACTTGTTCAAGCCCAAGATAGACTGGATTTTTCTCACTGAACAAGAAAAAAGAACCGTAAAACATCAAATGCACTTAATTGCTTTTTGTATAAAGTTAATTAATTGCTGGTCTTTAACATACTGCAAAACATACACATTTTCCGTATTGTTTTTATGAAGGTTTAAAGTATGTTATGTTAAAAATAAATAGTGATATGATTGGCATTTTTATTATTTTTTACTGCTATATTTGACCTACTCCACATTTTCATAGCCTTATTGTAACATGTTCTTACCAGTAGCAGCTAATCAAAACCATATAATTTACTGCTTTTTATAAAGTCATAACATTAATATTGAGCAGAATTAAGTTTAGCCTATTGGTTCGGCCATCCACAACAGTCCCAGTTTCTCATGTGGCCACTTGGGAAAATTAACTGCACACCCCTGCTCTTGATCATAATGGAAGCTACTGCTTTTTCTTGATGAAAAATCTATATTGTATTGCTGATACTGTGTGCTCAGACTGCTAGTTTTTTCATTCTACTTGTCTGATGCTTGCTTTACCTTGGCGCTCTCAGGGATAGGGAACGTGAACGTGATCGCCGAGACCGGGACAAGGAGCGGGAACGGCGTCGTAGCCGATCCCGAGAGCGCAGGAGACGAACACGGAGCCGAGAGAAAGAGGAACGGAAACGCAGCAGGGAACGCAGCAAGGATAAAGATCGGGAACGCAAGCGTCGGAGTCGTTCTAGAGACCGCAAGCGGGATCGGGACAGAGAAAAGAAGGAGTTGCCAGAAGTGGGAGAGGCCCACCCTGATGAGGTTACTCTTGGCGAGATAGGTGTAGATGGGATAGAGGTGAAGTCTGAAGGGGATGAGAAAGGTAGAGAGAGGGACCGGGATAGGGAGAAGGAGAGGGACCGTCGGCGTAGTCATCGTGACAAAGACAGAGACAGGGATCGTGACAGAGAGCATCGCCGTGATAGGGATCGAGATAGGGACCATGACCGTGAGCACAAGCGTGACAGGGCTGAGCGGGGTGCAGAAAAACGGGAGGAGAGGGGGCAAGACAATGGGATGGGAGAAGCATTGGAGGAAACTAGTCAGGATATGTTCCTGGACCAAGAATCCATACAATCAGCTGATGGCTACTTATCTACTGAAAATGGATATATAATGGCGCCCCCACTGCAGTGATGAATGGAGATTCTTCCTTGTCCCTTGTCCAGCCAGGTGAGGCTTTACTTCCCAGGCTGCTAGCCAGTGAGGCTGTCAACCAGTTGAGGTAACTGATTTTAACTGGTTTTGTTTAGAAGGGTGTTTGAGGTCTGTTTATCCCGTCCCATTCCTTCTTAATATGTAACTTTCCACCAATCTCTTGTGTATTTGGATATTTTTGTTTAAACAAGAATAAAGTGTTAAAAAGGTTTTCTTCATGTGAAATGTATATGAGATTGGAATGATTGAAGATGTGCTTTGCTGATTCTAGACTGCTAGTAAGTGAGAGATCTGTTAGAGGTACCAAGTTACAGTGAGGGAAAAAAGTATTTGATCTGCTGCTGATTTTGTACATTTGCCCACTGACAGAAGAAATGATCAGTCTATAATTTTAATGGTAGGTTTATTTTAACAGTGACAGAATAACAAAAAAATCCAGAAAGACGCATTTCAAAAAAGTTATAAATTGATTTGCATTTTAATGAGTGAAATAAGTATTTGACCCCTTCACAAAACATGACTTAGTACTTGGTGGCAAAACCCTTGTTGGCAATCACAGAGGTCAGATGTTTCTTGTAGTTGGCCACCAGGTTTGCACACATTTCAGGAGGAATTTTGTCCCACTCCTCTTTGCAGAAGTTTGCTCATGGTCTTTTTGTTCTCAACTAGCAGCAACACACAACTGAATTTTTTCATTACCTTTTTATCCTTTTCTACTTGCTTCTTCTTCTTCCAGCCTGCCTCTGCCCTCTCCCCCATAGCACCACAAGCAAAAACCTGACTCACTATCAGTATATTTTCAGCAGCAGTTTGGCACGTACAGTGAGGGAAAAAAGTATTTGATCCCCTGCTGATTTTGTACGTTTGCCCTCTGACAAAGAAATGATCAGTCTATAATTTTAATGGTAGGTTTATTTTAACAGTGAGAGACAAAATAACAACAAAAAATCCAGAAAAACGCATTTCAAAAAAGTTATAAATTGATTTGCATTTTAATGAGTGAAAGAAGTATTTGATCCCCTATCAATGAGCAAGATTTCTGGCTCCCAGGTGTCTTTTATACAGGTAAGGAGCTGAGATTAGGAGCACTCTCTTAAAGGGTGTATACCTGTATAAAAGACACCTGTCCACAGAAGCAATCAATCAATCAGATTCCAAACTCTCCACCATGGCCAAGACCAAAGAGCTGTCCAAGGATGTCAGGGACAAGATTGTAGACCTACATAAGGCTGGAATGGGCTACAAGGCTATCGCCAAGCAGCTTGGTGAGAAGGTGACAACAGTTGGTGCGATTATTCGCAAATGGAAGAAACACAAAATAACTGTCAATCTCCCTCCGTCTGGGGCTCCATGCAAGATCTCACCTCATGGAGTTTCAATGTTCATGGGAACGGTGAGGAATCAGCCCAGAACTACACAGGAGGATCTTGTCAATGATCTCAAGGCAGCTGGAACCATAGTCACCAAGAAAACAATTGGTAACACACTACGCCGTGAAGGACTGAAATCCTGCAGCGCCCGCAAGGTCCCTCTGCTCAAGAAAGCACATGTACAGGCCCGTCTGAAGTTTGCCAAAGGACATCTGAATGATTCAGAGGAGAACTGGGTGAAAGTGTTGTGGTCAGATGAGACCAAAATCGAGCTCTTTGGCATCAACTCAACTCGCCGTGTTTGGAGGAGGAGGAATGCTGCCTATGACCCCAAGAACACCATCCCCACCATCAAACATGGAGGTGGAAACATGCTTTGGGGGTGTTTTTCTGCTAAGGGGACAGGACAACTTCACCGCATCAAAGGGACGATGGATGGGGCCATGTACCGTCAAATCTTGGGTGAGAACCTCCTTCCCTCAGCCAGGGCATTGAAAATGGGCCGTGGATGGGTATTCCAGCATGACAATGACCCAAAACACATGGCCAAGGCAACAAAGGAGTGGCTCAAGAAGAAGCACACTAAGGTCCTGGAGTGGCCTAGTCAGTCTCCAGACCTTAATCCCATAGAAAATCTGTGGAGGGAGCTGAAGGTTCGAGCTGCCAAATGTCAGCCTCGAAACCTTAATGACTTGGAGAGGATCTGCAAAGAGGAGTGGAACAAAATCAAGGCGCCTGAAGGCAGGACGAGAAGCAACGGATGGAAACTGATCAAAGAGAGAAGCAACTTAGAACTAAGGAGAAACTTCCTGACAGTTAGAACAATTAACCAATGGAACAACCTGCCTCCAGAAGCGGTGAATGCTCCAACACTGGAAGTTTTTAAGAAGAGACTGGACAGCCATTTGTCTGAAATGGTGTAGGGTTCCTGCCTGAGCAGGGGGTTGGACTCGATGACCTCCAAGGTCCCTTCCAACTTTTTTATTATTATTATTATTATTATTATTATTATTATTATTATTATTATTATTATTATTATTATTATTATTATTATTATTATATCCCTCTTGAGATGTGTGCAAACCTGGTGGCCAACTACAAGAAACGTCTGACCTCTGTGATTGCCAACAAGGGTTTTGCCAAGTCATGTTTTGCAAAGGGGTCAAATACTCCTTTCACTCATTAAAATGCAAATCAATTTATAACTTTTTTGAAATGCATTTTTCTGGATTTTTTGTTGTTACTCTGTTTCTCACTGTTAAAATAAACCTACCATTAAAATTATAGACTGATCATTTGTCAGTGGGCAAACGTACAAAACCAGCAGGGGATCAAATAATTTTTCCCCTCACTGTACTACAGAAAACCACAAGCAAAATCTGTTTTTATTGAAGACGAGTATAATTATGCTTAACTGAGGTTATGCTTCCAAACCCTCCGCTTCTTTGCTCCCACTTACATAACACCCAGTACTGAAAGAGCATCCATGGCTAATTTCACTAAATAGTCACAGCAATGTGATTTAATTGAAGAGCAGCCTCTTGCAAGCAAATATGGGCAAAGGAAAGAAATACACCAACTGGATGAATCGGACCTGAAGGGAAAATTTGAGAACAGAATGGCAGCAAGGTGTGCAGAGAGAAATGTACAGAGAAGCAGATGGGAACAAGCTGTGTTGGTTTGCACCTGAACTGTTTTCTCATAACAGGGTTAGATTTTTAAACTGAAAAGAGAGAGAGAACGAAATAAAGTACTTGCTTACCCAGTCGGCAGGTTAATCTGGTATTTTGGTAGCAGGAGCTGCTGTAAAGGAGCTTCAAATATTACCGAAGGCCTTTAGACTTCTGAATGAGAATAAACATTCGTACAGGAGACCGGTTTATAGCAGAATGTCGCTCGAAATTTTCCAAGTCCAGAAATGAAATGAGTTTAATTGGCTACTGTGCCTACAAAATAAAAGCCTTGCCTGCTTTGATGTCACGGCGACGGCAGGCACGATAGGTATATTTTGCTTATGTAAAGATTCATCCAGCGATTGGTTTGTTCAAACGATAGAGTCCGTTTTACATTTGCGGGAAAAATTGACATCTGCTTATGCACTGTCGACTTTAAGCCAAATTATGGAGGAAGCGTAGGTTTAGCGTCTCTGGGCATGGAACTTTGTGGACAATGGAAGAGGCTCCTACTTGACCTAAGCAGCGCCCGGGAACCACGGGCCTCGGCACACGTGCCCAGGCAGACACGCCATTAGCTCGGGGGGGCAGGGCTGCGTGCCGGGTTGCAAAATCCTACATGCACTTCCCATCCTTCCGCTTTGACGTGCAAGGTTGCGGTGGGGTTTTCGGACGTGAAAACGGCAGTGTTGGCAGAGCCTCTGGGGCTGGAGAGGTAAGCATGGAGAAGAGTTTGCCTCGGAACGGAGGTTCATGGCGAATATGCCCGGTGGACTGGAGAGAGGCGCTAGGGCAGCCTTTGGAGCAAAGGAGGGGATGTGGTCCTGACTAGAATCTAGCAGCCCCGACTGAGGGGGGGCTGACGAGAGAGAGGACAGAGTTCCCATGCCTAATCTGCAGACCTCCGGGGTATCTTGAGGGAGGGATGGTGACATAAAGAGTCCCCCTTAGGTAGTGAAAAGCAGTGCTCCAGAACGGCGAAGCCGGAGGCCATGGCTGGGTTACGGTTTTCCTCCACTAATCTTGAGTTCGGTCCCAAATGTTCTGCAGGACTCTCGATTCTCTGTTCCCCCTTTTTGTAGATATGGTTCGGGCGGTCGAATTGCTGGAGCGGCTGCAACGCAGTGGGGAGGTTCCCCCCCCCCCCCGAAATTGCAAGCCCTTCAGAGGGTGCTACAGAGCAAATTCTGCTGTGCCATATGGGAGGTGAGACTGAGTAGTTTGTCCTATTTAAGCTGCCCCTCCTTGCTTCTCCTGTCTTCCATATCTGTTTTTTAACCTTTTTCCCCACTTCAGAGATGAACTTCTATAGAAAAATGTTTGAGAGTAGTGGGGCTGGAGTTAAAGATTATGGTTAGAGTGCCAGTTTTGCAGAGTATATTTAATACAAGTACTGACTGGGTTTCTGCCCTATGCTTAGACTGGGCTAAAAGGTGGTTGGGAAATTTTGTGGGAACCTAGCCATCTTATCACATATGAACCAGACCCATGTTAAGGGCATCATGTATCTGATTTGTCTGGGTGTAGATTGCTACATTACAAAGCACATAGTAGTTGTGCTGAAGGTCTTCCCCTCATTTCCCAGTACCCAGTGAAAATGCTTTATCACCTCCCAACATGTAATGTCTAGTAATTGCACAGTTGGTGTAATGCATATCATAAGATTCTTCTTTCAATCCACCCCCTACCACCATTTCAGTCTTTTACTTTGCTGTTCTGCATCAGATCCTCTCCCAGGATTTCAGTTAACCTCTTCCATTTCTCTGTTATTTCTGAGTTTCTGATTTCTTTAGCCTCCTGTTTCCTTTTATTACCAATGGCACCTACCTAGAGCTTGCCACTGTAAAACAACCTCCGTGTCCTCTCTTGTATCTCTGGACAGGTTTATGAGCAGCTGTATGACACTCTGGATATTTCAGGAAGTCTTGAAATCCAGGCACATGCCACTGCCAAGGTAATTCAACAAGCCTGTTATGGCGCTACCACTAAGAGCACCACAGAAGTCTGGATCTGTGTCTTGCCCTCTGTGAATCCAGGAAAAAAACACAGCTGCTTTAAAGTTGTTACTGACAGATGCCATAAGCACATTCATGTGCTTTCCAAATCACATTTTCTCCTTCAAAGCTGCATCTTTTCATACTCTATTACAGGGGTGTCAAACTGCTGGCATCA